ATTTTGGTTATTATTTAGCCTTATGTGAGCAAACCCTTAGCAAAAAGTAGTTTATTTAAGTATACTAAAAGTGCTCTAGTTTCATACTTAAAATCAGGCAGTGCACTTAGAGTTTACTTATTCTAAACTATATTTCATATACTTAACGATAGTATGGTCCAGTGTACTTGACTATACTATTGTTTACTTTATTGTTTACTAAAGTATACTTTAAGTATACTTTAGTAAACTTAAAAATGTCCCAATGTAGTTTGAAGTAGTGTTACTTTAGCAATACTTCAAGTACACTAAAAGTACATTGTTCGGTTTACTTTCTAAACGTATATTTATACTTAAGTACTTACTTAAGTATTCTTAATAGAATTTACTTCAAATATACTACTTTTTGCTAAGGGAAATTCTGTTTATCTGCGCTCAGTGTTTGACTTTAAATCTAACTTTTTGGGTTAAAATATTTTTTAAATGATTGTTCTAATATTGCCTGTGATTCCAGCTCTGTCCCTCACCATTATTTAAGCAACTATTGTCTTTTTTTCAACTCAAACCAACCTGGCTAATTTTCCTCCCATAGCACCCAGTGGATAATTTCTATTTTCTGAAAAATATTCCGTGAAACAAATCGATATTTGTGCATGAAATCCCAGCTAATGGAGAATTTTGGTAATACCTAGCTTGTTTAGCAGCTAAAATTGAAAATACATTTCATCAGCAAGTTAACTTCACCATGAACTTAACCAGATACTTAATTATTTATTGCAGTACAACAATTAGGGAGTGTATTAAAGCAAGTCACGTTAATCTTTGTACATTTAAGTTATGCTGCTTCGTTTTGCTCTTATCTAAGAGCACAGCTAGAAGATGTTAGCATGCTAACATGCCAAATTTGATGATAAATTATAATTAGAAGACAAAATGCGATTTATTTTAATAATAACACTTTTTTTAAATAATAAAACAATTATTTGGTCAGTTCTTTTTATTTAAGTAAACAAAAAAGTGAAAAAAAATTGTGGATGTGGTTTATTGCTGGACTGAATTGAGCTCATTATGCTAATATGCTAGCTAGGCCCTACATGTAAATTCAAGGGCCTCTTAAAGCTGCTATATGATTTCTATAAATGTTAGTGATGGTAATATGTCAAGACCAACACCTGACTCTGAATAGGATTCATTTTATTTATTTGTCATTTTCTTTTATTCATGAAGATAATCTAATTGAATCTTGGGGAGGGGGTTGCATAATAAACATTATTTTGGAATTGTTCAAACTAAAAACAGAAGCACATCATGAAATGAGCATATTTTGCACAAGTTTAGGAGGATAAATAAGCCACGAATAAAACGTTCATTTCTGATATGTTGTTGATGAAATTTTCTTTTTGTATTTCTAAGCATCTTAACTGTTTAAATAGATGTGTTCAGTCGGCTTTCACATTGAAATTTTCATTTTTTGTTTATTTTATTTGCTCTATCAGTGCAACAGATTTTCCTACGGTGTAAAGTAAAAGCTATTGGTATTGCAGTTCTTATATTTATTTACTCATCTCATCAAACAACGACCATGTGTCGACTCCCATTAACTTCAATTTATTTTCACTAATTTTCAACCCTTTTTTATTCCCTAACTGATAATAATCCAACCCCTATTACTAATGCATACCTCACCCTAACCCTGGAATAAACCCAATTCAAACCACAGCCCTAAACCTGTTACCAAAAAAGTTAATGAGAACAGTGAAATATCCTTACTTTATAACAACACCGGCACATTAAAACCAGCTTGACTGTAGTTAGCTCCTTATTAGCCACATGGCAGTAATTAGTGTGTAACCTTTTAAAATGAATGACTCAATTCTGTAAGAAACATGTAATTTTATGTAGATAATGTATGACACAAACCATTTACCACTACTGGTGATGTCTGAAATTGAGCTTTTTAGCTAAAAATCCAAAAAAGCTGATCACTTCTAATGACTTTGTAAATCACTCCAGAGATGCTTGGTCGTAGTTAATGGTCCTTTTCTTCCTCGGGATGTCTAAATTATTGCAAATTTGAAGAATACATTATAGGGGCACATGAAATTACACCCATTTTTGAATTGAGCCTATAATTATGATCTAAACATCAAAAAGTGCCATATGGAGTAATTGTCCTGCATGTGTCCACACAAATAAGATTAGATTAGATTAGATTAGATTAGATTAGATTCAACTTTATTGTCATTGCACAGGTACAGGTACAAGGCAACGAAATGCAGTTTAGGTCTAACCAGAAGTACAATAGCAGCAAGTGCAGAATAAATAATGGTTCCATTAATACAGGATAAGTATAGAGATGAATACCATTATAAACAGAATCTTACAAATAGATGAATAAAATATATAGATAACTATAACTATATATCATAGATGTTTTATAGATTGGTAACATTTTGCTATAAATATTTTAATCTGTATCAAATTTTAAAAGGGAAGCTCATGTCTTATATTTTAGTGGAATTCAAAGGGCCTCATGAGGATCATATTAACACATACACATCTTCATGCTTTAAGGAACTGTAGCAATAAGGGAAACGGATGTAATTATTTCATTTAGTTGAAAACAGTTCAGAATTCTGAAGAATCATAAACTTTAGCAGGCCATTTATTTTATATAAACATCAATTTCCTCCAAGTCATTGATACATGCAAATCTCATACCACATGCATATTGTGTTGTGTCGTTTGCAGCCACTGCTGCAGCCTCCCCAGCTCTTGTTTTCTAACTCCGAGCTGTTCATAGACTCACATTTTCATGTTTGTTCACGTGTGGCAGATGCATAGAACACACAAACACCTGCTGTGTGGAGAAGATCTCATTGTGGTTTATTGTCAGTTTGTATCTCTGCTTAAGATTCTTAGTGGTCTAAAAACAGAAGGAAATACCATATGAAGAAGCAGAGGATGTAATCCTTCAGAATGAACAGACGTTAATACTTACATGAACAGGGAAATAGGTCAATTTCAGAACTATCTCTGTCTGGGAGAAATCTAGCATAGAATGAGCTGATAAATGATGTTTGGCACCCTCTGCTGGAGGATTGGGGAACTTTATTTACATTTTGAAATGATTAATATGCCATCCTTCTTTAAACTGGACTGTAGTTCACATGAATGATCTAGATACAGTCCAGATTATTCACTAAAGGCTTTAACTGCTCTTTTAGTAATAACTCTATACTAGTTTGCAAATGTTGCTGGTAAAAAACAAATAAAAAAAAAACATTTCTATACAGTTATTAAACTCTTTCTTTATTCCTTATTAAAAATTGTTTTACACCAGCAGTCCAGGATATACACACACTGTGAGATTACAGATCAAATATCAATGCCAATTACAGCATCATCCATAAAGTCTTTATATATTATAATCTCTAATGTCAGTATGATTTGCACTGAATTTGCTAAACTATATAAAACTTTTTCTTGAACAAATCCATGCATCCATTTTCTACCGTTTAGTCCTTGTCAGGGTCGCGGTGGGGCCGGGGGCCTATCTCTGGCAGTCTATGATGGACAGGTCGTCAGTCTGTCGCAGTCTTGAACAAATAATATTGTCAATTGAGACAAAGCCTTGGTCTATTTATTCATTTATTTGAAGGGGGGTTGATCGCCCACCACTTTAATCACAGATACATTCCTGGCCACCATAAAAAGAAAATTTAATCTAGTAAAAGTCCCAGACATCATGTTTCAGCTGCCTGGGGCCTGAAAACGGGTGGTAGACTGGAAAATGAAAAAAGGAAAGGAGCTGAATTGAGCAGGAGGTAGAAGGGAAATGGACCCTGATGTAGTAGCTTATGCAGGAGAGACTTGGCCTTTGAGGAGGCTGCAGGAGAAGATAGATCCGGATGACGTAGATGAGCAGATAAGACTTGGCAGTGTCTTCCAAATTAATAATATATTCACTGGAAAAAAATCTAAATCTAGATAAGTCGATTTTTCTTAAACTAAGGTCAATTTTTCTTGAATTTAGGAGGTTAGACTTTGCCAATGGAACAAGACAATTTACATTAAAACAAGAAAAAACAATTGCATTGTCTTATTTCAAGTGCATATTATCCAATTATCTTATTTTAAGAGTAAAGATGCTCATTCCATTGGCAGTTCATCTTATTTATCTACTCAAATACTCTTAATTTAAGACATTTTTACTTATTTCTAGATTGTTTTAGCATTTTTCTTAGAATTCACATTGCATCTCAATTTATATTACCATGCCATTGTACGTCCCATATTTTGAGGTCTATCATTTTCAAAAGAGTGTGCCTTTATATTCTTAAACATGGCCACCTATCCTCAGTGAAATGCTGTTGAGGAGTATTGAAGCTAGCGATAGAGTGAATTTGTCTCTGATTGTCCAAAATTATCTTTTCAAACAATAGTAAAATCTCTTGGAAGATGAAAAGTCCCATCCTGGAGTAAACATAGCATCTTTAGGGTCTCAAATTATAAAAATTGGTCGAGAACAGAGTTGATTCCTTATTCCTGACATTTTTTATTTTTAAAAGGCTGCAGCACCTTCCCCTGATAGATATGGATTTTACAAGTGATTTAAAACAATTAAGTCAATACTCTATTTAAAACAACTTTTTCAAACTACTCCAGGCTTAATCAGGTTTGTATCAATAGAACTGCGTCTTGTAACTCTTGTTTACACTTATTGAGTAAGTTTTGTATAGAAAAGGCGCAGTGCTGTTTCCATAAACACAAACATAAAATGTCACATTCATTGTAAATGAGCACAGAAGTTCCGTTTTTGCAACATCGGAGACATTTCTGTGGAGCGAAAATGTCAAACTTTTTTAAAAACAAAACATTCTTTAATATATTGTGAATAGGAGTCTTCTGTGTAGTTTAGTTTCCAAGGAGTTAAAGGCTGTAGGCAGAGCTTCAGCAGGCCATAAGGTCCCAGGATTGAATTGGGATTCTCAGCAGCATATTCTCAGTAGCCATGGCAACGCTTCAAAAGCTATGTGTTCGTCCAGCTGAGGAGGAGTTTGTTTTCCCCACAGAACCAGAACTCACCAGCCTGAACTCTGATTAAAGTGGTGGAAAAACGGGAGAAAAGTTGGTGGAACAAGTTTTCAATCAGGTAGGCAAAAAAAAAAGAAGTTGTGCTTCTTAGATTTATTGGTTTTTTTTCAGAATTATTAAATGCAAGATGTCACACTTCTGCTTTGAAGACAATTTCAACAGTTTTTAGTCACATTTACTAGTTGAATATGTGCTTTAAATACATTTTTTACAGATATCGTAAGCTGGACCATGTTCTCCCTGTCGGAACTAGCACCCCTGGATCAACACCAGAACACATGTAAACTGCTGAAGCCCTGGTGGGAGGTCTTCATGGACTATCTGGTGGTCCTGATGCTGATGGTATCCGTCCTGGCTTGCACTGTGCAGCTTTCAAGGGACAGAGTTGTATGCATTCCTTCTGAGCTCTCTCTCAATGCAAGCACCAGTGTTCACCAGAGTCCATCAGCTGGCAGCGATGCAGGCTTCACCACTCAACAGGTTTCTAACATCGTCAGCCCAAATATCAACTCTCCTGCTCAGGGACGACGCACACATCTCGTCTACCAGCAATATATTTATGTTAGCCAGGTATTGTCCTTTGCCTTTGGATCACTACAAGTGTAATATGGTCTAAAATGGTTTTCAGATGCTACATTTATTGAATTTTGCTACATTTAGGCAGTTTGTAGAGATTTTTACCTTAAATCTTCAAAAAATGTAATTCAGGGTTCCTAATGGGTGGGTCGGGATCCAATTAAAATTACAATAGGCCTTCGCAGCGCTTTGCTGCTCGGGCCTAATAATGTTCACAATCCTTTTAATGGGATCTCTGAAGTGAATGGAGGTCCAAAATACATCATGTAATAAATGAATGTGAATGCGCCATGAAATAAGCAGGAGTAGCATTTATTTATATACATCAAATACATTATTCAATTTATATCTATATGTATATATATATATATATATATATATATATATATATATATATATATATATATATATATATATATATATATATATATATATATATATATATACAATTAAATTATAAATATAATAAATAATTAAATGTCCAATAATATAATCAAAATTACATTTGAAAAAATGAAAAAAAAAAGAATAAAAAATACATTTATTTATTTATTTCAAAAATAAATATATAATTTTTTGAAATAAACTTTATGTATTTTCAGGGTGTCACCCATCTGTAACGTGCGGTCAGGTCAGATTTTGTCCCTTTGAGGGTGGAACCATCGTGAGAAACTAGACTACCTGTGATTGGCTACTTTTCAGGAAATCCTGCATCTCGAGACAATACTGTTCTCATCTCAGAAAAGTGTCAGTAGGGTAAAATATGTCGGGCTCTTGCCTAGAACAGCTCATATCTAGCAAATCTTATCTGTTTAGAAGTAATAGTTTAATCCTTCTTAACTTTATTTTATATTTCGCATTGCTTTATATCTAACCCATCTTGGTCTAATGCAGTGGTTCTCAAACTTTTTCTGTCATTCCCCACTTTGGACAAGGGGGAATTTTCAAGCCCCGCCTGTCCCCATCGCCCCAACACAATGCTAATGAAATATGCAACAATCTTAAAATTTTCCAATTTTATTGAAGTAACAAGTAGTATCTAAATACAAACTATCTACATCAAATAACAGCAAGCTCAAAAATAAAGAAAATAAAAATGCAGCTGTGTCAAAATTTGTATCAAGCTCAAAGATAGAAAAAATTAAAGTGCCACTCTGCAATCTGTTAATAAAAGAAAAGAAGTGAAATCCATCTGGCAATACAGGTCTATTTATCCCTGCATTAGTGGCTGCAATGAGCCTGTTTTGCATTGCACAGTTTCTCAAAACGGGGTTGCAGGCTTGATACTGCCACTCTCAAGTCATGCTCAATGTTCAGCTGAGATCTGTATTTTGTTTTCAGTGAAGCAACAGTTGAAAAGCCCATCTCACAGAGATATGATGTGGCAAAGGGAAGAAGAATGCACACAGCTCTCTGCCCGATGAGTGGAAACTCCCTCTCCACTCCAAACCAGAATTCACTATTAGTCTGAGCATTAAACCTGAGCCTCAGGGTGGAGTCAGACGTCATTTCAATAAACTGGTCCTATTTATTTAAGATAAAATATTTCAAATTCAGTTATTTATGATCAACCTGCGCCGCCAATCCCGGCGCATGTGCGCTTTATTTGCAGTCTGGACGCTGAGGGTAAACATGCTGTGTCTCTGCAGCGCTGATAGGGACTCCTGCGATAGCGGGGGAGAACGGGGTTGGGACGGGGGAGGCGCCCCACGGCAGCACCTGCCGCTGGAGGACAAGAAAAGGAACGATACGTGCTTTCACGTAAGAGTCTCCAAAAGTCGCTAGATTTGTCGCTTTTTAAAAAAAGAGTCGCTGGAGGGGTCTAAAATATAGCAACAAAGTCGCTGAGTTGGCAACACTGGGGCGCGAAAGTTTATTCCGTTACAAATAATATGCCGACGTCACGTCAATCATTATTTTGGCACTTCAGTTCCAGGTGAAATTTTTCTCATATCTAATGTTCTTTTAATTAGACTGCATGTAGGCTAGTAATGATTACTTTGTGGGTTTGATTGGTCTAAAAAGCGGCAACATACAGCTATAAGGACAGTTTGCTCTCACACATTCTACATTTATAGTCACACACACACACACCGGAACTTGGCGCGCCCCACCTGTCACGTCTCAATTCCCCACCAGTGGGTCGCGCCACACACTTTGAGAACCGCGGGTCTAATGGCAAAAACAGACAATAGGCAAGAAGCTTACCCTATGCCGTCTCATGATATTCAAGGGTGCACCCAGGCTCGGACTGGGAACAATTTCCAGCCCTGGCATTTTTCCATCCACACCGGCCCACTTATGGAGCCTGCATATATGAAAAAGAATACAAATACATATTGTGGATTAACCAATCTATCTTCAAGCATCACACGACAACCATCACCAAGACTTCTATAGTGGGTTTTTATTGGTTTTGGTTAATAACACGGACGCGACAGCGACTGCTGCTGCATAACGTCCACACTCACCACATCAGCAGGGTTGCCAGATGTCACCGACTCACGTTTTTCAGCCCAAAAAGGGTTCACAAACCGCCTGGATATACAAAACCTCGCCCAATTTAAACCAAAGTTGATCTCATAGGCCATGAATCTAGAAAAAAAAAATACAAAATTACCCATAGATGGCCATCCTAAACTGCTAGATTGGGAAACATCCCAACCTGGCAACCATGCACGTAAGACGGGAAACATTAGCCTTTATTGCAAAACCCCATCATGCACCGCAACATATTTTTTGCTAAATATTCAAACATAAATTCACCAAATATAAGAGGAACATCGTAGTTTGGTTTAAAGACAGCATTTTAGTTTTATTATAATTTAGTTCGTTGCAAGGATTTTACAGTTTGAAGAAATAGAAAATTGCCCCATATGCCAACCGTCAAAGGGACTTGCATGACAAGGAAGGGCTATATATACTGCATCCATCATTTAGGTAATTAATATTGGATTACTTCTTGAGCTCCTTGAGTTATTTACTATCACACTGGAGTGTTGGGGCCGGTATAATTTAGCAAGGGCCGGCCCTCGCACGCAATTAGGACGGGGTATAACAGATTACCAGTCCCAGCCTGGGTGCATCTATTGGCTACGGCAGGTGTCCCCCATGTTCCCACTAATTTTAATGTACCTTGGGAGTTTAAAATGGGATCCTTTGCAAACCCAACCATGTAAAAGTGACAGGAGCCATAAAGAACTGAAACTAAAATCCTTGTTAGTTGCTCTTTGTTGCTGCTGAGTGATCAAGCTACCTAGAGTTAGCAACACCAGTTCAAAACAATTAAATTCTCATCCTTTTGTAAATCCAAAGACCTCACATCTACATCCCTACACAGAAATATTAATGTTGTATGTGTACTACTCATTAACTAAAAAACAAATCAACAGAAACAAAAACAAACCTTACAATAGGACCAAATGGTTGGCAGCTATTTTGGAGTTTGAGGTTGACATTACTAGTTTAGTTCTTGACTTTGTCTTTTGTGAAGAAATGTTATGCAAAAATATTTTCTTCTGTTTTTATTTTGATATCGTATCGTGGAGAACAGAAAGTTTCGGTTATGTATACATTTTCCTTTGTCAGGATTTGGTTGTGGTTTGAGGACCCAAATGCAGAGGCAGGGAGGTAGAGGTTGAGTTTCTTGTAGATTTAATGAAAGGTTAACAGACAGCTGAGGCAGGAATCCACAAATCGAACATGAAAAAAGTCAAACAAACCAGAAACCATGGAGACTACAGGGGAAAACAATCGCAGCGAGAAAGACACAGTAAGACGGAGTTGGAGGAAGTTAGACGAGGAACCAGCACTGAGGAAGTGCACAAGGAGAGTATTTATGGATAACTGAACAAAGAGAGGACTAACGAGCTGATTGGAAGCAGGTGTGAAGGAAAAAGGAGACCAACACAAGAGGGCAACAAATAAAAACCTGAGAACTGAGATATAACCAGAAAATACAACAAAATAAGAATTAAATAAACCAATAAAACTAGAAAACATGGAGCAAAGTTAAACTGAATACTGAAAAAGAAAACATAACAGAAACAAGACTGTGACATCCTTATCTTGATTTTGAAGCAAACACTTTACCTCACTGTACCTCACTTTGTATTGGTTTTTTAAATCTCGATACCAGAAATGGATCCATGCATGTTTGAAATGAATTGGCATCAGGATTTCTTTAAAAGTGTGCTCATTATGGTTACAGTTGTAATCATTAATCTTTGTGTTTTATGTGCATGTCTGTCTAGGTGTGCTACCATGAAGCTTTGCCTGTGTGTTCTCGCTTCTTCCCCTACATGGCGTTGCTGCATACTCTGGTGCTGGTAGCCAGCGGCTCCTTCTGGCTCCATTTCCCTCACACGTCTTCTCGCATTGAACAATTCCTGTCCATCTTGGCAAAATGCAGCGAGTCTCCCTGGACATCCCAGGCTCTGTCCCAAGCTGCGCGCCATGAAACCATCCAAGATTTGCAGAGACGGCCTCGCTGTACCCCAGTGACTTCTGCTTGCTTTTCCATTCCAGCGATCCGTGCAGGACGTTCCAGCATAGACTCCGGCACAGAAAGCCCTCTTTTAAAGAGATCTGTCTCTCCTCCATCTCCTTCTCCTTCCACCGGTTCCTCTAACTCAACAATGTCTTCTGTATCCCTTGGCTCTGAGGTCCACTTCAGTTCTTTCATGCCCTCAGTGAAGGTTCCACGCCCGGGGCAGGTAATGAGTCTAGGTAAAAGTGATGGAGAACAGGCCAGGGCCCTATTTGAAAGAGTCAGGAAATTTCGGTCTCACTGCGAAAGCTCTGCTGTCATTTACAAGGTATTGGAACATCTAAAGTCTTCTTTTTCTATAATATTTTTGCTGTTGTAAAACACCAGAATTTCCCAATTGTGGTAAAATTAAGAGATTTTCTATTCTATTCTATCCATTGGTTTATTTGGGAAAAATCATCAATTGAAATGCTTATAATGCACCATAAATGTTCCCAATGAATCTTACTTCTGGTTTTGCCTTTTATTTTCAGGTTTACTTGGCTCAGACGATATTCAAGCTGCTGATGGCAGCGGTGGTCATGACTTACACCGTCCCATTCCTCAGCTCCCTCTCCTTCAGCCATGTTTGTCACCCTGGGGAGGGAACACTAGTGGGCTACGCAACCTTTGATTGTGTCCATGTGCTCTCATCACTTCTGCACAAACTGCTCGTTGCCTACCTAATCCTTCTGGGGCTTTATGATCTCCTTAATTTTCACACCCTCGGCTGGATTTTTCAAAGGTTTGGACTCACATCAAGCAGACAGACACATTGCTATTGATGCACACAGCCAAAGGTCAACTCTGATTTTCATTAATCGCTTTACACCCTAAAAAATTGAATCTTGAATTTCCTTAACCAAGTTATATTTACTGGTTGCCTACTGTAAATAAGAACTAAAGACAGTAAATATCACTAAATCCAGCCTTGTAAGTATAACTTAGTGCTGCAATGTTAGAATTAACATATCAGCTCAGTTTAATTAATATTATTGATTAGCAATAATGTTTTTTGATTTATATTACTCGGGTTGCAGTTATAACGATCTAGTTTAGTTGATCCAGATCCAATTACCTGACTAAGTAATTACATTACTTTCCATCAACTAAATAAATTAAACAGATTTATCTAATCAATTTTATCATCAAGCCAAATTTAGGGGGTGTGCAGCAAGTTAGGATCTAAAATGACTCCAGAATTGACAAGATTCTAACATTAATGGTCCAATTTCATCTCACTCATGGTGGAATAGAGGAAATAAAAACATAATGGTATTCATCCTGGGAAATAACAGGAAGTCTTTTACCATTAACTGTTACCGGAAATACACATTTGTCTTAATATTGTTCCGTTGATTTATACTTAATTATTTTGGTTGTTTTCTGGGTTCATTTCCCAGCTCGGCTGTCTTTTTGCATGGGTACTCTGGCTTCCTCCCACAGTCCAAAAACATCACAGTTAATTGGCTCTTCTTAATTGTACCTAGATGTTAGTGGGTGTGCATGGTTATGTGTCTTTGTTTGTCTCTGTATTGCCCTGCAACAGATTGGTCTCTTGCCCATAGGCTGCCACAGATAGGCACCGGCCCTACCGCGACCCAGGATGGATGGATGGATGGATGGATGGATGGATGGATGGAAGGATGGATGGATGGATTGTTATTTTTAGTTGGCTGAAAATCACTTGGTGTTTAAATGGAACAAAACCTGCCAATGTTTAACATATAAATAAACATTTTAATATTAATCAGAAAACATAAAACAGTTAAATAGAACAAGTCCCAATCACAGGAAGCAACTAAATAAACTTAATTTGCATCTACACCCATTAAATATCAAGTGACAGGATTATGATGAAATAAATTCCTAATTTTTATTTGTTTCAACATCTGTTATTGTATTTAAGTACAATGCTACCTGCCTATGCTCAGCATGAAAACGTAACTTTTTGGTAGTAATCTGATCATGCATTTATTAACCTGTTAACGAGCCACGCTAAAAACACCCGTAAATGCATCACATAAATTAGCTGCTGTTCTTTAACCCTTTGGAAGGATTTAGCTGCCATATAAAGCTGTTGTCTTATTGTGGCAGCATGATTATGATGATAAGATATGCGTATGTGTAAAAAACCTCAATTTACTAGTGGTAGGAGTAGTAACCAGAAATTTTACTCAAGAGTAGCAACACTCTCACCAGAATAATACTTTAGTAAAAGCTTTTTTTTCGAATTGTTACTCAGGTAAATGCAACTAAGTAAATGTGACTAGTTAATCTTTACTTCTGATGACATAATCTAACAGGGACAAAAAAAAGGACGAATAGTATCTGTTAGTTAATAAAAAGACATTGAAAGCGACCTGGATGAAGAGACAGGGCTGGGAAACTATAAATATGATGGAACAGATTCGAAGACAAAAGACATCCACCCTAACCTCCGCCCTCATATCCGATTGTAAATCTGTTTATACTTTATATGTTTCAAGTTCTGGATTAACTTTAAGGCCAATTTGAACCAAAGCTTAAAAATTATTCAACTGCTTATGCAGGACTTCTATACAGTTCGATCTACATTATCCTGTCTGAAATTTAGAACAAAACCAGACAGAGTACGCTTTTATGTTCTTTCTAGGAACACAGGGAACAAACGAGAAAAAATAATCTCATGACTGTGCACAGAAGTATTGTTGCTAATAAAATAAATACAATTATTTTTTATATTTTAAAGCAAAAACTTGACTTCACTTTTGTTCTTACAATATGAAACTTGTACTTTTTTACTTTTACTCAAATAAAGGAGCTTAAATGGTTCCTTTACTTTTAGCTGTCTTTTTTAGCTTTTTTAGCTTATCTATAATTTTGTATAGATAAGTAAAAAAATATAGACATAAAAAATATATATATAGATAGTAAAGACCTCTAATAGATGGTCAGACACGCTTCATGTGGCTTCAGCTCCCTGTAAACACGGTTCTTTTATGGATAAATGGTCTCTGAACCATTGGTTTGCAGACAGAATAGAGACCGACTGGGTTTTATCAGGAGCAGGTAGTGCAGTAGAGTTGAATCCTTCACTGTTTGCATTGAAATTTAATAGCATAATTTTTCCCAGTGGAGCAGCTGCCATGCTATCAAAAGCCTGGACTTGTAGAAGTGAAGTAAACTGTATAACATCAGTGAAAACCTGGAGTCTGCTTCATGATCTTGTAGTTGCATCTAAGTAATAAAGAATTCATAATACTCTGGTTGAATCCTTCTTAGCAATTTGAGCTCATTTATTTTGTTTGCAAGACATTTCACCGTATTTGATTCATGACGTTTTTTTGGTCTATTTTAGATTTGCCTTTAATTTCAAATGTTTTTGTTTTTTCTATATGCCTCTAATCAGCTGTCTTCGGAAATATTCCTTCCAATCGTCAAAGGAGCTGTTCTCCCTGAACGACATCCCCGATGTGATGAATGACCTGGCCTTTCTCATGCACATGGTGGACCAGTATGACCCGCTGCTGGTCCAGCGTCTGTCCGTGTTTCTGTCCCCGGTCAGCGAGAGCAGACTGCTGGAACAAAGCCTGGAGAGGCAGTGGGGGGAAGAAAGGCTACATGCTATGACCAGTACGGATGCGGATGGCTGTACCAGCCTGCAGCTCGTCGCCCTGCCCCGCCTTCCCCCGGCTCTTTTCACCCTGAGCCAGCTCCAGGCCCTCAAACTGGAGCTCATCACTGATGCCAGATTTACTTCCCAGCTGGCAAACATGACTTCACTTAGGTGAGATGCACAGATCAGCATTGTAGTTATATTCATGTGTTCTTCATATTCCCTTATTTAAATTTTTTTCTCATCCCCAGGGAGCTCCATCTTTACCACTGTACCCCGGCTGTAGATCCCAGTGCACTTGCGGTCCTCCAGGAACGTCTAGAGATTCTTCATATCACTTTCTCTCAGGCTTCTCAGATCCCCAGCTGGGTCCTCTCCCTCCGTAACTTACACCAGCTCCATCTTTCCGGCCGTTTAAGCAGTGAGGGTGGCGTTGGTCGTGGCTGGGCTCTGGGCAGCCTACGTCAGCTCCGCCACCTGCGTATTCTTGTAATTCAGGGCATGTTACAGAAGGTTCCTGCGGAGCTCTGTGAGGTGGCAGGAAGTTTGGTCAAACTAGAGATACATAACGAGGGGACAAGGCTACTGGTGCTGACAGGCCTGAAGCGACTGGTTGACCTGACAGAACTCCAGCTGCAGGACTGCCAGCTGGACCGCTTGCCCTCTGCCCTGCTTGCTCTCACTAACCTTCGGACGCTCGACTTGCAGCATAACAATTTGAGAACCCTAGAGGAACTTCTCAGCCTGGTTCACTTGCGACGCCTTTCTTGCCTCAAACTCGCCTACAATCGTGTGTTGGTGCTGCCTCCTAGTGTTGGAGTCCTTCGAAGCTTAGAGCTTCTGGATCTGTGCAACAACCAGCTGAAGACTCTTCCACCTGCCCTCTTTGCTCTCCATCGACTTCGTCGGCTCCTGTTGGCTGGTAACCTGCTTTGCGAGCTGCCCTCTGAGGTTAAGGCTTTGGAGCTCCTCACAGAACTAGATCTGAGTGGGAACAGGTTAGAGAGTCTACCCTCTGACCTCTTCAGCAGCTGCTTGGAGCTCCGCATCCTAAATGTGTCTCGCAACTCTCTCCTTTCGCTGCCCCGGGGAGTTAAAGCTTTAAGCCACCTGTCCAGGTTGGATTTGCGAGGCAATAATCTGGAGGAGTTGCCTGCTGAGCTTGGCTGCTGTTTGGGGCTCTGTGGCGGTGGGCTCCTTGTTGAAAGGTGGCTCTTTATTTCCTTACCTTCTCAAGTTAGGGACTTACTGAGCAGCTCTTATGCTACCAGTGAGGTATACTTCGAGGATTACTCCCGGCCCAAATCGGACACGTTCCCATACTCTCCCAATCAGTGGAGCTTCTCTTCAGCTCTAGAATCACAAATATAAGGTTTATAGTTGACAATTGTCCCACAGTTTCACAAAGGCATTCTCAGCTTTAGTTTTTTTGCAACACCTTGTTAAATAGAGGCACACTTTAACTTTTCTTTGCATCTTTGATAAATGAGTCATGGAAACTTGCATTAAAAAAATGAAAAGGCAGATTATGCTTTAAATATTGGTCGTTTTTATGATATGAGATGGGAAAAAAAAAATATTTTCAAATGTTTTAAAATATGAACAGGAACGGTTTGGGGACCACCGGATCTCGTCCCTGCTATTTGTGGATGACGTAGTTCTGCTGACTCCCTCCTGCCAAGACCTACAGCGTGCGCTGGGGCGGTTCGCAGCCGAGTGTGAAGCGGCCGGGATGAGAATCAGCTCCTCCAAGTCCGAGGCCATGGTTCTCGATCGGAAAAAGGTGGCTTGTCCCATTCAGGTTGGAGGAGAGTCCTTGCCTCAAGGGGAGGAGTTCGAGTATCTTGGGGTCCTGTTCACGAGTGAGGGAAGAATGGAGCGGGAGATCGATAGACGGATCGGTGCGGCTGCTGCAATAATGCGGACGCTGCACCGGTCTGTCGTGCTGAAGAGAGAGCTGAGCGAAAAGGCAAAGCTCTCAATTTACTGGTCGGTCTACGTTCCTACCCTCACCTATGGTCATGAAATCTGGATCATGACCGAAAGAACGAGATCCCGGATACAATTCTTGGATTCTTCGGATGCCCCCTGGACGCCTCCCTCGGGAGGTGTTCCAGGCACGTCCCACCGGGAGGAGGCCCAGGGGACGACCCAGGACACGCTGGAGAGACTATGTCTCTCGGCTGGCCTGGGAGCGCCTAGGGCTTCCCCCAACAGAGCTGGAGGAGGTGTCAGCTGAGAGGGAAGTCTGGGAGTCTCTGCTTAGTCTGCTGCCCCCGCGACCCGGTTCCGGATAAAGCGGGAGACAATGAACGAACGAATGTTTTAAAATATCCCTCTCCACTTAAAAAAAAAAAAAGCACATGCACATTCCTGCAATAGGAACTCCTATTAAATGCGTGTGAGAGCATGCACAAGCCCATTTATCCTCTTGCAGGCTCTGTTTAAAATTTTCTTTTTGCATCACTCATACAAGCTTACTTTGCAAAAGAAGATTTGCAATGTTTCCACTATGTCAGACTCACCACTGGTAAGTGTAAATTGGGAAGAGCACGTAGGACGGCCTTAACATATCACCAGAATGATTGACAATTAGGAGGAGCATCAATTATTTAGATGATCCACCTGGAAAAAGAACACCCTTCACTATACCTTTAATCAAACCAACTTGTATAGATGGAGGAAATTTCTTAGAAGAAACAAATATGATTCTTTAGAGTCATGGCTGCTTTGGATCTTTGATTCTGTTCAAGTTTTTACTTTAGGTTTTCAGTTACTCTTAGATTTATGTTATGTGTTTCCATTTATCCTGCTTAGAGTCTTATTATCTAGTTGCTCTGTTTGGATGTTTGCTACATTTATGGTCTTAGTTTGGGATTTTTGTCTTTCTCTGTTTGCTGTTAAGTTTAATCTGGTTCTAAATTATATCTTAGTTCAAATTTTGTTTATCTTAAGATTATCTTTATCCATCGTATTTTAAGTTATTTCCATTCTCTTCCTCTGCTCTCGTTCCTGTGTTCCTTGTTTATTTACCACTCGATTTATGCATCTGCTCCCATAACCTCAATAAATCTGCAAAAACCAGCCTCTACATATTGCGTCCTTCTTCAAATTTGACAATAACACCCAAAGGTACAAGTTAATATATGAACAATGGACAGCCATATTGGACAGTTAAAGCTGATCGGTATTATGGAATTACAGAAAAATTCAACCATTCTGAATATAAATATAAAACATATTTTTCTGTAATGTCCTGGAACACATGATTCAATTAACAGCCAAGTGACACATCTACAAGGAAAGGTATTTAAAGAAGAACAAGAATTAATCTTCTATGCTGCTGCCTAAACAAACAATGCTAGATATTGGCTTTAAATACATATACCAACACAAGATAGATGGAGAAAAATTATAGAAGAAATTCACAACATAAAGATATTAGATTAGAAGAAGGATCATATGGAAGAGACTGGGGAAATATGAGTAAAGTGAAAATATGTCAAATAAATTTATAAACTCTCCTTACCAATTTGGCTGCTTCTTAATTTTCTTTGACTTTTTTTGTTTTTGTTTTTGTTTCTACTTTAACAATAAAACAATAAGTCAATGATGTGAGAAAATGAAACAGATTTAAAGGATTTTTTTTTAAAGTGGTCATTTTCTAACTTACCTCAAAAATTGTGTATATTTTGATCATTTAAGTAAATCGTATTGTTTAGATATATTTATTGTCAGCTATTAAAAAAGGAATATATACTATTTTGATATAAGGTAGGAGTGTATGGATTGAATAGCAATGAATAACATAGGTTTGATTGTGCAAAGAGCTCAAACTGTTTACTTTTATACTCATTAACTGCTTTATTAGGTACGTATGTTCAATTTCCTGTTAGTGATTCAGCCATTGTTATAGCAGGAGCAGTGCATTTAAGCATCTAGACGTAGCAAAGACAGATTGTTTAACTTTAAACATGACGTGAGATAAGAAAATAAAAGGGATTTATATGACTTCGACCTTAATTAATGGTGTCATAAATTGGTCTCTGTATTTCAAAATCTGCTTGGGTTTCTAAAATACCAAAAAGCTCTCGACTTTACAGAAAAATATTTTTTTTTTAATAAGTAGTTTTGTGTTCCTGGACCCAAAACTGTGAGGTTGTGTGACGGTAGAGGTAACAGTGGTTTAAATAATGATTTATTACAATCAACAGCATCAGTAGAGCTCATGTTTTTGAGAACTTTTTTGGATTTCCTTGCAAAAGACACGCAACAGAAGATAGCGGTGAGAAAATTAAACAAAAAGACATCACAGACCCTTATGTTGCTGGTGTGTCTGAAAAACTCAAGGATTTTCTCCAAACACAAAATCCCACATTTCAAGCCAAACAAAACCCTTAAACAGAGCCTAATGCATCCTAAAGATAAAACCCCCAGACCGAATATGAGCGGAGTGGTATATGCTGTTCAGTGCAGCAAGGAATGCTCTGAACTTTAAATTGGAGAAACCAGACAACCTCTCCACAAATGCATGGCCCAACACAGAAGAGCGGCCTCCTCTGGAAAAGACTCCGCAGTACATCTACACCTTGTGGACAAAGGACATTATTTTGAAGACCAGAATGTCCATATTCTAGATAAAGAAAATAGGTGGTTTGAGAGGGGCGTGAAAGAAGCCATCTGTGTTAAGAGAGAAAAAAAAACTTTAAACAGAGGTGGTGGACTCAGATTCCAGCTTCCAAAAACGTACAATTCAATCATAGACATGATCCCTTCCAGATATCACCACACCCCCCACCCCATCACAACCCTCTTCAGCCTGTGAACAATACCTACTTAACGACAACATTCAGAATCATAGACAGGTTTCAGATATTACAGGCTAACAATGGAACCAAATGACCCACTTATCGGTTACCATTTGCATGTTTCCTAGCAATACAAGGCCTTGTCTATATAAAGACTCAAACTCACTGCAGATCCAGACTTTTGAATTGAGAAAGCTTCCTGGAGGGAAAGTGAAATGTCATCAAACCTAGGAAACCAAGTCCAGTGGACTGTTTTTTAAACTTTTACGTAATGACTATGACCTGGATGACTGAGAATCTTTATCAGCACAGATTAGTAGGTAATAGTGCCATGCCCTAGTAAAAAAGCAGGAACACAATGTGTCCCTTAAGTAGAACAGTTTCAGCGGCAACATGCAAATTTATATATATACGTGCCCAGTGTACTTACAATATATATTTGCTTCTTACAGGTAAAGGGGGGTAAAACAATTCCTTCTAAACATCAGTGAATATTTTCAGCAAATTTAGACAAAAATTTGCTTCTTTGAGATCAACTTGGAAGAGGATCTGAGAGGTAACATGATACCTCTAACCTGCAAACAAGGGTGTAGATTTGATTTCAACTTTGGTAGGGACACGGTTGGTCTGATGTCATTGGTCCTATATAAAAAATATGCATGCTTGTTTTTTTAATGCTTGACGTGAAAATCAGGGTGAAAAGCAGAATTTCTTGCTACATTTATACAAATTTTATAAGCACTACACACATTAGATGCTGTTTATCAATGACTGAATTCTAACTGGCTCTGATGAATGAGGAATTAGGATTTCTTTTCCACTTTGAAAAGGTTTGCATTTGAAATTACCAGCGACTAAGACAGTAGGTAAATCTGTGCCTATTTAACAGAATATAGTCTAAATATGTCTGTTATATGTGGATTTATCTTGTTTTTATTTTGAAGATATAGTATTGTGCAGAGGTAAACAGAGGTAAAACCGCATTTTATCTTTTAAATTTTCTCTTTGTATCATTAAAACAAAGCGAAATAATAGATTCAAGGGACGCTAAATAAATGTATTGTATTTACATGAGCACTGGAACTAGAAGAGGAACTGACACTGAGCATTTAATATATTAACTTCACTCTACAAGTTCTACATCTATGCTGTAGATACTCTGTTTAACCATTTTCATGTATTTTATTTAGGGCTGAAACAATTCATTGGATTAATCAATCGTTGAAATAATGTCAACAAATTTAGTAATCGATTAATCATTATGGAGTATCGAGACTCTAAAAGACATCTTTAGCTCATAGAGCGACCAACATAGAGCAAGAATTATACCAAAATTGTAAAAAAAAATCGATAAACATTTTCCATTTTAGATTAAACATGTTTTCGTCTGTCAATATTCTCCATCCAGAACTCCTCTACTGCAGCAACAAAGCTGTATTGTAAATTATAAACATGCTATTCACATTTAATTGTTGGTAGGGACAAGAAGGTCGGTCCAAAATTTTGGTATGCCCCTATGGTCCCTATGCAAACCTACGCCCATGCCTGCAAAAGGAGACCTAAGTGAGACTGCAGGTGGTCTGGATGAACAGCATCTCAAAGAGGCCGTTTTATTACATTTGGTGTTCAGAACATTACATTTAAAACATTGGTTGATTGGAAATCGTGTGAATTTCTATATTTATTACTGAACTAGGTATTATTTGACAAACCTTCCAAGCGTTTCAGCAGCTGATCCAGTTCTAAACAGCCATTTATCACTGTCTGTCAACGATAACAGGGCTGCAGAACAAATCATCTGTTAAGACACTTAAAATCAATACAGAGCATCTCCCCAAGGTCAAAACCTTTTCAATCTTCTTCCCTCTTGAAGGCGCTGTAGGGCTCGGTACGCAAACACCGCTTGATTCAGGAAAAGTTTTTTCTATTTCCCACAAGCCATCAGTCTAAAGACCAGCTGACTTTGACTCACTGTGGCAGATAGAACCCTTGTGCAACTGCCCAGTAACTCTACCTATATTCAGCTTTTGTTAACTCAGTTATTTGTTTATTATTTGATCATTTAATTCTGCATACTTTGCTCTATGCTTGTTGACCTACTGCTTTATTGTTTTAATCCGCCCCATATGTTTATAGTATGTATATGCTCTGAATTCTGTAGTTTAATCATTATTACTGTATTATCATACAATTGTATAAGTGAACATTGCACAATCCAAGGTCAAATTAGTTGTATTTGTACAAATAAAGCTGATTCTGATTTTTACAGAAAGATGCAACATCCATCAGAGTAAAAAAAAGTACCAAGCATGAAACTAAAAGCCATGCCACTAAGTATGCTGTTGCTATGAAGATTTTAGCTTACATCTTTTTTCATGCTTAAATATAAACCGAGCCAACACAAGAATTGGGAATAGAGGTAGATTTAAATCTTTTTAATCATAAGTGAAAACCGTTTACTTGAATTTTTCAGTTTTCCAGGATAAATAATTCCCTTCACAATATTTATATCTGAAGCATTAACGTTTCTAGTTCGAATTACTGTAATTAATCTTTTTGACCCTTACAAGCTTCTTCTTCTTCTTATGGGGTTTTATGGCGGTTGGCAGACTTGTGAATTGTGCATTACCGCCACCAACTGATATGGAGTAAAGCAAGAAAACAGAAAACGATTCACCCCCCCCCCCCCCAAAAAAAAAAAAAAAAAAAAAAAAAAAAAAAAAAAAAAAAAAAAAAAACCTGTGTAACTTAAACCAACATAATACTAAATCACATTTGCCCATATAATTTTTAATTTACTCTAGGTCATCTTAACTCTGCCAGTTTCTGATGGTCCCATCGGTCCTCCCATCATACTTCCAACCATCTCCCAGTTCAAATCTTTAATGTCCAGATATTTTTCTGCAGCCTTCACTATTATTTTGATTTTTTCCGTTTTTTTTGTTGTCTGTGCAGTACAATTAATTACTTCTACCATGAAAAGAACAAAATTTGTCTTTTTAACAATAAGTGAGTCTTCATCAATTTTTTGATTCTCTAGAGGTTTGGAATTTGCCGTGTGTTGAACTGTAGGTTTGGGTTTTTCTGACTGAGATGGGATCCTTTTTGCAGCTTCAGCGTAGGTTATTCCGAGCTCAAATTTCATTTTTTTAATTTCCTCAGACCTTTTGCTTGCTTCACAGCCGCGATAAGCAGCAGTATGTTCTCCACCACAATTACAGCATTTTATTATAGCTTCTTTTCCACATTTACCATATTCGTGTTCTCCTGCACACCTTCCACACCTCTGTTTCCCTTTACAAACTGCTGCAATGTGACCGAATTTTTGGCATTTGAAACATCTCAATGGTGGAGGATTGTAGATTTTGACATTATAGCTTATGTAACCGATGAATACTTTGCTTGGTAATTGCTCTTCCTCAAATTTAATTAGCACTGATAAACTGTCAGATCTTTCTCCGTTTCTTGTTGTTTTTAACCGTTTTACTTCTTTTACTTTTGCACCGCTTATGTTTTCCAGAATCTCTTTTTCAGAAATTTTTAGAGGAACTCCTCCAATGACTCCCCTGCTGATCTTTTTGTTCTCCATTAGGCTGCACTGAACTCTTATCCCGTCAATTTTGTTGATCCGTATTGCTTTGCCTTGCTGGGCGCTGTCTCTGCAGTTAATTAGCAGGTCTCCACTGTACAGAATTCTGGCACCTCTGACTTCTCCGACAAGTTTATTGATGGTTTTTGTTAAGTGAACCGGATTCCAATTTGTAAAAGAGTCTGCCTGATTAACGACTTTGAATATGACTTTGAATTCATTTTGTTGTGCTGTGGAATGTATGGAATGATCATCACTGGATTGTTCTGAACTAGATTCCCCTTGAACTGATCTCTGTTTTTTCCGCTTTTTCTCATTTTTTGATGTTGCTATCTTCCACCCTTCATTGTCACTATTTCCCTCTTCCATCCCACAAGAATCGCTTCCTGTTTCCTCACTACTCACGGCCCAAGACATTTCTCCATAAGCAGCTTCAAAACACGCGCCATGCACCAAACGACCATCCACATCCGACCGACTCCCCTTCCCACCTCACTGGTTCTCGACAGGCTCCAGTCCCTAATCCGACCCTTACAAGCTTCTTCTTCTTCTTCTTATGGGGTTTTATGGCGGTTGGCAGGCTTGTGAATTGTGCATTACCGCCACCAACTGATATGGAGTAAAGCAAGAAAACAGAAAACGATTCACCCAAAAAAAAAAAAAAAAAAAAAAAAAAAAAAAAAAAAAAAAAAAAAAAAAAAAAAAAAAAAAAAAACCTGTGTAACTTAAACCAACATAATACTAAATCACATTTGCCCATATAATTTTAATTTACTCTAGGTCATCTTAACTCTGCCAGTTTCTGATGGTCCCATCGGTCCTCCCATCATACTTCCAACCATCTCCCAGTTCAAATCTTTAATGTCCAGGTATTTTTCTGCAGCCTTCACTATTATTTTGATTTTTTCCGTTTTTTTTGTTGTCTGTGCAGTACAATTAATTACTTCTACCATGAAAAGAACAAAATTTGTCTTTTTAACAATAAGTGAGTCTTCATCAATTTTTTGATTCTCTAGAGGTTTGGAATTTGCCGTGTGTTGAACTGTAGGTTTGGGTTTTTCTGACTGAGATGGGATCCTTTTTGCAGCTTCAGCGTAGGTTATTCCGAGCTCAAATTTCATTTTTTTAATTTCCTCAGACCTTTTGCTTGCTTCACAGCCGCGATAGGCAGCAGTATGTTCTCCACCACAATTACAGCATTTTATTATAGCTTCTTTTCCACATTTTCCGTACTCATGTTCTCCTGCACACCTTCCACACCTCTGTTTCCCTTTACAAACTGCTGCAATGTGACCGAATTTTTGGCATTTGAAACATCTCAATGGTGGAGGATTGTAGATTTTGACATTATAGCTTATGTAACCGATGAATACTTTGCTTGGTAATTGCTCTTCCTCAAATTTAATTAGCACTGATAAACTGTCAGATCTTTCTCCGTTTCTTGTTGTTTTTAACCGTTTTACTTCTTTTACTTTTGCACCGCTTATGTTTTCCAGAATCTCTTTTTCAGAAATTTTTAGAGGAACTCCTCCAATGACTCCCCTGCTGATCTTTTTGTTCTCCATTAGGCTGCACTGAACTCTTATCCCGTCAATTTTGTTGATCCGTATTGCTTTGCCTTGCTGGGCGCTGTCTCTGCAGTTAATTAGCAGGTCTCCACTGTACAGAATTCTGGCACCTCTGACTTCTCCGACAAGTTTATTGATGGTTTTTGTTAAGTGAACCGGATTCCAATTTGTAAAAGAGTCTGCCTGATTAACGACTTTGAATATGACTTTGAATTCATTTTGTTGTGCTGTGGAATGTATGGAATGATCATCACTGGATTGTTCTGAACTAGATTCCCCTTGAACTGATCTCTGTTTTTTCCGCTTTTTCTCATTTTTTGATGTTGCTATCTTCCAACCTTCATTGTCACTATTTCCCTCTTCCATCCCACAAGAATCGCTTCCTGTTTCCTCACTACTCACGGCCCAAGACATTTCTCCATAAGCAGCTTCAAAACACGCGCCATGCACCAAACGACCATCCACATGCAATCCTTCCTGGGTGTAAATTCCCACCCGTTTTGGGTTCACCCTTACAAGCTTCCTTACAACGAAGATAATATTGCAGCTCGATCCCGCTTTTTCAGACAGCGAGGCACCTTTCCTCCAATCACTGCTCGCATTTAGATAAACCAACCAATGGTATTAAGCTTTTCATCACTGTAGGCGGAACTTCCGGTTCCCTGTATAAACCGAGCGAGGCCTCTCCATGCGGTTTGGATCCGGCAGTTTGAGAGCTAACGTCGTGCAGGTACGAGCTTCATTTTGAGCAAAAAATGTTACATTTTGTTTTGTTAAATGTGGTAGTTTAATTTCAAAGTTTAGTTTTAAGTATTTGTTTATATTTCGACAGAAAGCAGCCCGTGTTTAATTCGAAACTGTTGTTGCCGTAACCCGGACGTTGAAGCTAGATAGTTGTAGCTTAGCGTCTTAGCGTAGCTTCCCTGGTATTTTGTCATTTATGTTGCTTTATTTGCTAATCTAGTACGTGCTTACTGTTAGATTTGGATAATTTGATTATTTTTTTAGTTATCAGTTAATAGTGAGACGAAGTTTTATCTAAAAGGTAAGAAACTAAACGTTTGTAGCGCTTATGCAACACAATGGGCTTTCAGTAGCGGTTAGCTCTCCTAAGCTAGCAGGTTTTACCAAATCGACGCTCTGCATGACCTATTTTGTCTATCTGTTTATGTGCTGATACAGTCTGAAGTAGGCTTTTTGTGCCTTTTTTGTCTACATGCTGTTAGTTAAATATCATATGGCTGGTGAGTTTGATCCAGTGTGTTTTTATCAGTGTATCTTAGACAGTACAACAAAAAAACTGTATAGTTTGTTTCTCCTTAATCACTGGGGAATATAGACCTTGATTGGATCATAACATTTATATATTTCATATAAAGCTGTTAAACTTTCTATCACTAATACATTTATTTCCTTTTTTTTATAGAGAAACTCGTAAACACATCTATAATGGCTGAGAATGACGAAAATGAGCTGCTCGATTATGAAGAGGATGAGGAGCCACAAGGAGCCCCTGAGAGTGCAGCTCCCACAGGGAAGAAGGAGGTGAAGGGATCCTACGTTTCCATCCACAGCTCCGGCTTCAGGGATTTTCTTCTGAAACCAGAACTGCTTCGCGCCATCATAGACTGTGGTTTTGAGCATCCATCTGAAGGTGAGGCTCATACAGTCACAGAAATCTGTTTATTGATGAACAATCAGGGGAGAAAGGTATAGTTTCCAAACTGCTTGAAAATGTTCACACAATTACTTGATAAATACTATAGTATATATATATATATATATATATACACACACACATCTCCACTGTATTAATCTCCTCATGAGGTACTACCTGAAATTAGTTTCTATGTACAATCTGTGTATACAAAACGACCACGTCTGTCTAAGTAAGTCTAGGTGTTGGTGTCTGGTTGAATAGCGTCTTTACGGCAGTCAGGAGTATACAGTAGGTGCTCAATAAAGGCTTTCCGCATGTCATAAGTAATAAAAACATGTTTTAAATTAAGGCATTAATTTGCCTTAAAATTCATGAAATGTGATTCTTGTGGCATCTAAAATGTTACAGTTTAAAAAAAGGTTTCTAAAAACAATTTTGTTAGATATGTTATATCGCAATATGTTTGCGTGGAACTGCTTCCGGTATGTTCGGAAAAGAGGCTGGAGGCAGAGAAAAGGCTAGATAATGGGAAATGGCACATTTCAACAAAAGTGACTGGAAAAGGGAATTCGGGACATGGTTATATATTTCAGAGAGTGTTCTGGGAATTTGCTGATGGCATTAAAATTATTTCTAAGATCATTAAAAAGCATTAAAACCCTGCAATAGACTGACAATATGGTGCCAGAAACGTAATTCTGCTGTTTTCTAAGCGTTCATATTCATATCAATTCTACTTTTAACCCATGTGTGATGCTGTATTTGATAAGAACTTGGTGACTTATTCCCTGGTCGATTAAGAAGAATCAGAATAAGCTAATCAGAGTTTGTTCCAGAACGAACCATTCAAGAGATACAACACAACAAACGTACATGGGAGGGAAGCATTAAAAAGTGCTGACCTTGAGTTAGAAGACTATGGGGTAGTTTGTGATAAGAAGAGAAATTAATCTTGCTGTGTCCTTGATGGCGAATAATATACAGTTTCAAAACTAGTAGGGAAAACAAGTGAGACAAAAAGAACTACAATCCCCCTGCAAACACTTTCAACAGGCTCTTGTGGCCTAATGATTATTTTCCAGAAACAAGGCAGGTGGACTGATGAATGGGCTTTCACTTGTTTAGACTTTTGTCATGTCTAATTAGCCGTACATAAAGATTGAAATGGATGTAATGGAAGATCATGTTGCTAACAAACCCAGTGGGTCACCCACAGTGTTTATTGGAAAGGGTTCACAGATGGCCTGTTTAGCTCTGCTTCAGTCGGTAAAGGATGGCCATCTAATGGCTGTGACTCATGTCGCAGAGCTCTACAGCATATTTAAAATTACACACCCTCGCATTTCATAGGAGCGGTGATTCTCGCCAAGCTTGTTTGTCACACCTGAGATAAATATAAAATTTTCAAATGATTAGTAGTGGTAATTCTTCAGGAGATACAAACATTTTCTTCAGTCTTTTTAACTATTTAGTGTCTTTTTTTTATTTTTTATTATAGGCTTTTGGGGTTTCTGGTTAATTATTTTTGATCTTTCTGCTTTCAGTCCAGCATGAATGCATCCCGCAGGCCATCCTCGGCATGGACATCCTGTGCCAAGCTAAGTCTGGTATGGGCAAGACGGCTGTGTTTGTCTTGGCCACGCTGCAGCAGATTGAACCTGTTGATGGGCAGGTGGGTGTATATGTTGTAGCTGACCAGAACTGGAATTAAATGATTGTTTTATGCTCGATTTAAAGCAGCTTAGGTGGCTTCTGTGCCACTTAAGTTTTCTTTTTCCCTTTGGGGAGGCATTTTGATTGCATCTTGTTTTTGACCTTTGTCTTTTTTCTTTTTTTTCCCCAATCTATCCCCAGGTATCTGTATTAGTCATGTGCCACATAAGAGAGCTGGCCTTCCAGATCAGCAAAGAGTACGAGCGTTTCTCCAAGTACATGCCCACTGTGAAGTGTGCCGTGTTCTTTGGAGGCATGCCCATCAAGAAGGACGAGGAAACCCTAAAGAAGAACTGCCCTCACATCGTCGTGGGAACGCCCGGTCGCATCCTCGCTCTCATCCGCAACAAGACCCTAAGTCTGAAAAATGTTAAACATTTCGTCCTGGATGAGTGCGACAAGATGTTGGACCAGCTGGGTAAGCCAAGACTTTAGAGCCCAGAGAACTGATGTGGAGTTTGTGCGTGTTTAATGTTTGACTACATGATTTTTTTTTTATGTCCGCAGACATGAGGCGTGACGTGCAGGACATCTTCAGGATCACGCCCCACGAGAAGCAGGTCATGATGTTCAGCGCAACCTTGAGTAAGGAGATCCGACCGGTCTGCCGCAAATTCATGCAGGATGTAAGTAAAAACTCATTTTTTTTTTTTTCTGATCTCTTTAATAAATTGGGTGTAATAGTTCACAGCAGAATTGTTCAAACCATTTGGCATTCTATAATTTTGGCTGAGTTTCACACAAAAAATATCCAGAAACCTGCCCTATCAGGGTTTTATTTAGACTCTGGATCCAGGAGTTCTTATAAAGATTCAGATTTTAACTGATCTAATATAATCAACTGTGTTTAGTTTCACTAAATTAAACCATCTAGTTCAAATGAAAGTAGAAAAAACAAATCTGATTCTGTTGTTTATATGGACATAAGTAATTGGACTCAGAATGTATCATGTAAACATGATCGGCCTCACGACCACCTTTGCTCAGCTTGGCTGTGAGGTTGACTAAAGCCTTTCCTCTGCCTGCATCTCCCAGAATGCCGTATAACATAATAAAGTCAACAATCATTCAAGCATTCAGAAACAGTCAGTGACATCATATTGGGTTTGGTTACCAGCACAAAGAAGCACAAATAAACATTGCAATGCAGTGACCAAGTTAGAGGTATTATATGACCATTTCTATTTCAATAGACATTGCAGTTATAAACCAGAATAGCAGACTGATGGTGCCAGCTAATTCAATTGGCTAATTCAGTAAAGCATAAAATGGTAGAAAACTAAACCTAACAGCAGGTCTAACTGACGGCGAGCTCTAACAAGGGAAAATTATTATTATTTTTTGTTTTTTTAACGTTTGACTGTAGAAAGCTAGAGCTGCATACATGGTAATACTAAAGGAAACCAGAATGAAAAGGATAAAAGATGTTGCTGGTTTAACAGAATGCTTAAAAAAAGAGCTAAATCTGTTTGACAAATAGCAAGTTTTGGGATTTAATATTTACTAATGCTCTCCATCTTATTGGACCATTTTACCTGAAAAGTTCAGTTTATAGAGGGGCATCCAAGCAGTCTTGCGCTGCCTGTACTCTGTCTGACAAATAACATCCCAAATACATTAATGTATTAAAGTTTTGTGTTTTCCTTGCAGCCGATGGAGGTGTTTGTTGACGATGAAACCAAACTCACACTCCATGGCCTGCAGCAGTACTACTGCAAGCTGAAGGACAGCGAGAAAAACCGCAAGCTCTTCGACCTTCTTGATGTCCTGGAGTTTAATCAGGTAAATCTACCAACCAAACACTCCTGGATGTTTCTTTTCCTGGTGTTTAATGCTAAAACAAATATGGGTACAGATATAAAAATAATCACATTAAGAAAAATAATGTTTTGGTAATTTATTTTAAGTTGTATTCATTACACATGGTGTGATTTTATTTTACTTTGATGTTTGACTTGCAGTTAATGAAATTCAAAGATGTAACTTAACAAAATGGAATAGTGCAAAGGTTTAAATTTGGAAGCTGATAGAGGGACTTATAATTAACTGGGCACCACTAAGATCATTGCTGAATAAGCTGGTTAGTCCCCAGAATGTTCCTTAGAAGTTATAGAAGTTAGGAAAATGTTCAGGATTGACAACTGCAGCTTTGAAAAGCTTATTAAGAAAAACTCTGGTGGATCCTTCATTTAACCTCCAGATGTTGCTTTCCTTGTGTTACTTGGTCACTTGTGAACAGAATTTAATACCATAAGTCTCTAACTTGAAGAAGGATGACATATAAAATTAAATTCTGCCTTTTATTTAGAAATCGGGAATCCAGAGATGAGGGACGGAGCAGTTAAACAAACTCCTCGTTGATTGAAATGCAGTGTGAAGATTTCAGAGTTTGATCTTTGGATCTATTTTATCTGCTGGTTCTTGTCGACTCCGTTTCCTAAAGAATCAACACAGCCAGCAGCACGTTTTAGTGGAGGTCATGCTTCCATCTACTGACCAGTTAAATTTAGATATCCTGTCTCTGAATCAGGCAGATTCGAGCTCCTTTTCCTCCTCCTTGCATTGTGTCTACAGATGTCTGAAGGAGCTCCATGCTGCTCTTCTGAATCAGGCCAGCCTTAGACGTCATTACTCGACAGCAATGCAATGCAGCCTTCTGAAAAGAACTAATAATGTACTCAAAGAATAGGCCCGATAATTTAATTTTCCATTTGGATCTGTTTTAATATTCTAAAATGTTTAAGCTTTGATCAAAATGGATGGCTTATGTTTAACTGTATGTAAGCTGGTGGCTTGTCTGTAAGTTCCTGTGCTCTGCCTCTAGGTGGTGATCTTCGTCAAGTCTGTGCAGCGATGCATCGCTCTGTCTCAGCTTCTGGTGGAGCAGAATTTCCCGGCCATCGCCATCCACAGAGGAATGGTTCAGGAGGAAAGGTGAGACCATCATGAAGCTCATCATTCCACTGCAGCGCTCTAATAAACACATGCTCTGTGAATCGCGGCTTGCTGAGAGCGTTTATGCTCCTAAATCTACCGCGACACGTTGTTGCCTTCAGAGCAGGATGGCGCCAGCGCTCCTTTTAGCAGCCGCGTTGATCTGTGCTCTTTATTGACCGTCTTCACAGGCTCTCACGCTACCAGCAGTTCAAGGACTTCCAGAGGCGGATCTTGGTGGCGACCAACCTCTTTGGCAGAGGGATGGATATCGAGAGAGTCAACATCGTGTTCAACTATGACATGCCGGAAGATTCTGACACCTATTTGCACAGGGTGAGTAATCTTTGTCTTGAATATTTCAGGATGTTTTTTTTTTGTTTTATTTTTAGCTTCTGTTAATGTTTTTAACGTGTTGAACTGTTTAGGTTGCCCGTGCTGGTCGGTTCGGAACCAAAGGCCTGGCGATCACCTTTGTGTCTGACGAGACCGACGCCAAGACCCTGAACGACGTGCAGGACCGCTTTGAGGTCAACGTGGCTGAGCTGCCGGATGAGATCGACATCTCGTCTTACAGTAAGTTGTTCTTACATGACGAATACCTGCCAAACACAGATTTAAGTTGTTTAAAGTAGCCAATGTGAGAGCGTTAAAAGGGTCTCCATTTGGATAATAATTACGGGAACAGTCCGAGGGGTCGTGTAACTGGATCTCCTGTTAAATCTCACTTTAGACCTCAGCTGTTGTTCAGTTACTCTCTGCTGACTGTGTTCCCTTTTTCTCTCTTCTAGTTGAACAGTCCAGATGAGTTCCTCGGCCCTAAGCGAAGTCTCCTCCTCCTCCTGGATCCAGTCTTTTATTTTGAAGTAGCTGTACTTCACTGATTTGGAAGCTCTGCACGTTTGTTCGCTCTTTTTTTTTTTTTGTCGTCATTCATCGGGAAGGGGCGGGGTTGTGATTTTAATTTGTCTTTTATGGTTTGGTTTTTGTTTTTCCTGATTAAAATTTTTTTTATAAAATGCCATTTTTATCCTTGTCTCATGAAACTGTCTCTGGGTTGTTTTGAGTGTGGAGATAAACGTTAATAGACTGGAGGAATCACTTGGAGCCGTTTTGTTTTCTTTACCCCTAGTTAGAGTTGTATTGTAGGGTTTTATATTTTTCTCTAAAGTTTAAAGTAATCTGTTGGTCTTAAGATTTGAGTAAACAGACTGACTCACACGGCAGCTGTTGTTCTGAGTTTCTAATGGAATGCCTTCGATAAATTAAGTCAACAAGTTGAGTCCTAGTGAAGAAATGGCCCCTTTTGAGCAGAGTATCCTATTGAGGCACTGTACCAAAAAAATTGATTCTCACTATGTATGTTTTGGTGTGTAAAACTGAAAATAAACCGGAACCAAACAAATGAGATATGACCGCAGTGACTAATTTTAATTCACCTATAAACAATGCTAGCACCAAACTTTTCATTATAGATTTAAAACTTTTTTTAAATATTTATAACAATGTAAGATTTCTGCTGAATATATATATATAGATGCACAAAAAGCATACGGTATATTTGCATTTTATACCCATTTGTTGTTCTAAATTATAGTATGCTAATGCTAAGTAGGTAATTACTTTGGCTCTACCAAATCCTGCACTTAAGAAAAAAAAAACACCTTTTTTTTTCAAATATAGGTCAAGCTGTTTTAGTTTGATTAAAAACGCTTCCTTTCAGACAGCTGATCAGCAGTGCAGAGCAACAAGTATGGGATGTGCAGCTCTGTTAGGATTGGTAATGTTATAACTGGCTATCCATAAGAAACACATGCTAGCTAGCACCACAATGGTGATGTGTATTATGGTGGTATGAAAGCACTTTCTGATATTTTCAACTTTTTTTTTTTTTTTGCAAAAGCAAATGTATCAGTGCTCATACTAACAAGATACAAGGATATGTAATAAAACATGGTTTAGCTATCATTTAAAACAATAATTCTGGAAGCACAACTAATGGTACAAATTATCAGAAATTTTAGATGCAGAAGTTATTTTCTGAATTCAATAGACATTTTTCAAGCTTTTTTTTAGATGTAGCTTTGAGAGTAGCTTTTCTTCTGAGTTAAGTTTCCTTTCTGGGTTGCCTTGTTTTCACAAATTTCAATGTGCAAAAAATATTTAGTAAAAAAGTTTCAAGCAAAATTCAGAGCTGCAGCACATAATCCCAAGTGATTTGTAGTTCCTTCCGTCTGCTTTTTGTCCACATTTCCTAAAGTCCAAATGTTGGCAAAGCCAATTAAAGACTTTTTGGAGCACTCTGTGCTGACACACTATGTGTAGGTGCTGACTTCATTCTCCAGAAGGACTTGGTACCTGCCAAAGTTATCAAAGCTGCTCCATGGACTGATGTTTGTATGCTTGATTGGCCTGAAAACTCCCCAAAATATCAACCCTGTAGTATTTCTTTAGATAGAAAATAAGTAATGCAGAAGATCCCTGCTGACCACCTGAAAATACCTTTTACCATCATGACATTTCTGACTAAAACATTATTTTATTAACATCTAATGCAGTTTTCAATTATATTTGTAATATGTATATTTTGTAATAAAGCCTGAGTGTAATGTCCAAAAAATAATAAAACTATAGATATTCAACACAGCTAGCATTTTACATCCAGAAGTTGACAGTTGAACCCTTTATTAGCTAACTACACATATATTTGAAGCTTTGACACAATAAGGGTAAAACTTTATTTATTCAAAAAAATAAAATAAAAAAAGTTATTACTTTACAACCAAAAGGGAAACTGTCCTTCCATGAGATAAAAAATTCTCATATCCTCCAAACTGGTGCATTATTCTCATTAATTTCAAACTGCACACGAAGCGACTGAACAGGATGAGGGGCCCACATACAGCAGATCTACAACGTTACAAATTCATCTGGACACAGCAGCTCCACTGCGTCCCCGAAAACAAGACAAAACCACAGTATCTACACGAGCAAATAGAGGATATAAGACGACATCTGTAGTGTTGCAACAGAAAAACTTGGACATGTCTTTCTAGCGTTCATTGACAGAGATATTGAATAAAAGTTGACATAAGGTGCACAAACTAATCCAAAACGAGTTTAAGAGGATGCTTTTGTTTTCCAGTTCTACACTACAGAAATCAAAGACTATACAGCCCCTATCTAGAATCAGTCTCTAAAAGAGGTTCCAAGGTGTAGCCCCCATTGGAAAGTTTATTTCTGACTCAACAGTTGAGTCAGCAATGTTCAGAAACAGACACCTTTTTAACAGGAAAAGACACAAGTTCTTTTTTTGTTTGTGACATAGAGTGCCGCTCAATTACAGGCCATATTAGGCAGTAGTGCGGTCGACCCGCAAGTCACAAATTGTATGTTTACCTCGTCACACACGCAGCTTTCAGATTTTTATTTTTATAGCAAAACCAGAGAGGAGCTGATTTTCTCCTCGGAGATTGTAATTTGCACAGAATTTGGTGGTCGACTGCTCGACGCCAGAATCCCAGGCTTGTTCTTCTGGTTCTCGCTAAATGTCTCAGTTTCTTGTGAAGGCGAGGCAGGAGACGGGTCCAGCTGTATAAACAACCTTTGACATATTTCCTCCTGTTTACAAACCCTAAACGCATCGGGTTTAACTGTCTGTTTTTCGCACTTCTTCACCTGCATTCTTTGACGCTGTCCTGGACCGATCTCCCTCTCCAGCTTGTGACTGACAGCCGTTTGTTGAGGTTCCAAGAAAAAATCTCTTATCCCAGTGGCTTGCCATTGTGTCAACATGTCTGTCTGTAGAATAAATATCAAGGAATAAATATAAGACGCAACCTCTTGCAATCGCCATTGAAGTCTTTTCAAATTCTCTACTTAAGTCCTTACATTAACTTATGTTTCATTTTAAATATAAAATGTCTTTCTACCAGCTCATTACGTCTAATCCGCTGCAAGAGAATAAGATTAGCATAATGCAAGAAATGGTCATCCTCAAGAGTTTGTCTCCGGTCTTGCTCCTTTTTCCTTGGCTCATGTGGCACAGTTCAGGGAACATTTGGAGCATGGTAGAAAATCCTTCTCAGAAAGATTTCCCGATATGAGAACACTGCTGACGTCTACTCATAGCTATACTAGGAACAGCTGCTCTATAAAAAGTATCACTAATGGGTGGCAATTTATGCTTTTAAAGAGGAATGCAGGCAGGGCGAGGGTAACACAACTAGTCCTTGAATTTGTGAACGTCTCCAAAGAGCCACAGTTGTGGGGGCATCACAGCTTCGTTCAGATGGTTGCACTCATCGCTGCATTTGCAGGACTGGATGAACATCACGGATCTACTGAACAGGTCCCCGTCAGGGCAGGCAAAGGTCACGTTGGCGGTACGCGTGCGACGAGGGGAGCAGCAACGGCCGTCTCTGCACACCCCGCAGTAGTTGGGCCTGTAAAGGCGAGTGCTTCTGCAGCCGGCGTAGGACAAACGATGGGGCTCCGGGGCCTTGTGTGTACGAGAGCACTTCCTTCCTCTCTGTTGATAAAGACGACAAAATTAAAAGACTCACAAGGCAAACAAATTTACAAAATTATGTTTCTCCAGCCATGAATATTTGAGGTTCATTATAAGCATAATGCCATGAAATATAATGAAAAACAGATATTTTTGTCTGTACCAGTGCTAATAAAGTCAAATATGTAATATTTTGTGTCTAGTGAGAGAAAAAAAAGATGACTGGAAATAGACAAGAATACTAGTAATTAAACGCAGCTAATTGCAACACTGGCCTCAACTAACTGTTAGCATCTCTGCACAGTCGGTAACAGTAGTGATTAATTAAAAATGAGGTAGAATAATGAAAATTAATGAGGCATCATTAGTTATCATTGAAGCGTTTCAACACACTGCAAAACTGTATTGATACTGTCTCGCAGAATACTGACACCTGCTGGACATTATTTTACAGACTAAACTGAATTGATTTGATGACCAAGTACAATGAGATCACTGGTTATTGCTGGTTATATTGTATCGTTTCATATCTATGTTTAAATTTAAAAAAACTTTGATATTTTTAGATGCAGCCAATAAATAATGTAAACATGTATCATAACTTGAAAATTTAGGAGGAAATGAGGATGCCCGATCCAGCACTAAAATCGTGGTATAGGCATCGGCCAGTACCAACAAATAGCGCACCGATACCATTTTGAGAGCCAAAAGTTTATTCAACTATTGTCACCCATTCCAGGTGGGCAATAAAAACTGGATTCACTTTGTATTAGTCTTTTCCTGCTTCACAGAGGTATGCAGCAGCTTGACAAAGCCATGATGGCAATTATTTTACATCCAAGTAGTATGCAGTTCTTCATATACACACACATCAATTTCAAACAGATGGTATCGGTATCGGCCAATACTGCAAAGATCGGGGCCAAAAAATGACATCGATGCAACACTAATTAAAACACTAGCATCAAGGAACTGTTAGCATCAGTGCAGCACTTGACAAAATGTAAATTATACTCAGAGTCATTTAGCAATGACCTTTAAGGTATTGTGGAGTTGTTTTTATTTTTTAAAAGATGTGAGTGCAAGAGAATGCACAAGCTCATTTCTCCTTGTGCATGTCCTGTTTAAAATGTGCTGTTCTCATAGCTCATACAGGCTGACTGTGTCCACATACAGTAGACTGTATAGTGGACTTTATAGCAAACTCGTTCAGACTGCTTTTTGGGCCGCTGGTCACATAACTCCTCCTCCACCGCAAGTTGCCTGCTCCATCTTTGTTATTAGTCACCGCTGTCGGGTAGCGACAGCCTATTGCAACAGTTGGTCGCTGTGACAGCAAATCCCATAGTGCTTTGCGAGGAGAGCTCCCCGCGCAAAGTATTCTGGGATATATCTGCCTCTTCTGAGACCTTTCTTTTCTGCTCATCCACTTCTCCTACGACCCTCGGCCACTTTCAAAGAACAGCGGTGAGAAAGGTGTGCTTCAATGACTGTCTGCAACCGTAGCTCACTAAGGATATACGCCTAAAAGTGCACATGCGGAGAAAAAGATAGCTAACAGGACAAGCACGTAGGACAGCCTTACGAAAACATTTCACCAGAATGATTGACAGTTAGGAGGACCTCTTATTTAGATGATCCACCCGGAAATAAATGATCGTCCCCGTACCTTTGATGAAAGAGCAAAATGTATAGCATATACCAGAGGTCACGAATTAGCGGACCGGATCTGGACCTCCCTGATGGACAGTCCAGTCCCAACCTGACCTAAAACATTTATAAATAAAAAACGCATGTTGTCCAACGGCAATGTCTAACTTCACATGCGCCGCTTCTCCTGTTAATACGGTAAAGCCCTCCTAAGTGTCCGACACAAGGCTGCACATGGTACAAATTAG